GTTGCTCTATCATCCGCTCCATTTTTTGCTTTTTATCCTGTGACCAAAGTGAAAAAACTCACTTTGCACAACAGTCTGTCCTCACTCTCAAACTGGTCAGAAGTGGCTGCCGTGTGGGGCAATGCTTAGGCAAAACTCCACTCCCCACCCCCACTGCCGATTCCACCCATTGAGAGCGCTCAGATGGCGACTGGAGCACTGCACGGAGGCCAATTTCATTACTTTTTGTACAGACCTTGTGGTTTTACCTGTGTAATATATTTTTCTAGAATTCAGAATCTCAGATAAATTATAACTTGACAATTCAACTTTGGTTGTTGTTTAATAATAGGCATTAGTTCTGTAAGAGGTATGTTTTGTTATGTGTATTACAACAAGGCATGTAGCCAGGAGAAGGGCAAGGGGAACTGAAGGTGCCTTCTTTTAAATTTTTCTTTAACCTTCGCTTACAGATTGAAATTGCTACTTTCGCTGAAAATCACTGTACAGTATAATTATCGTAAAGATAGTATATTTAATAGTAATGTATAAGTGTTATAATTTTAATTTCTATTTTGTATATTTATATTATTATTATTGTTATTATCATCATCATTATCATCATCATCATCATCATTGTTGTTGTTCAAAGTAAAACCGGTGTCCTTAATCTGCAAATGGACTTAACATCGCTTTATGATTAGTGTTCAGAGAACAGTATGATGCTGAATATCGACAAATGCTAAATTTTAAACTTCAGCAGAAAAGAGAAGCTCTCGTAATTTAGGACAGCTGTCCTCCACAATGTGTAACCTTTGATGCTTGTTTGGTTTTCAATTTGCACGTTGAACCAATATGTAACAAAGCCAAGATGATGTTGGGTATCCTCATATGGAACAAGACATAATTTCAAATTACTAATTTTTGCATTTATGATGTCTGTTCTGGAATAGGCAGTGGTGGACTGGTCACCCTATACTGAGGATTAATCTTCATTGATCGAAAGGGTCCAGAAGAGATTTCTGAGACATTCGACTTTCATTGACAGCCTAGACCAGTCTAGGCTATATCACAACTACAGGAATAGTTGGGCATGAATGAATATCCCTACACTATTAGCCAGAACACTGTACAATCTTTCTAAGCTCCATTATATATGGGCACATGAACTGTCCAATACCCAAATACAGAACAAACTATTTGTGTAATGATGTATTCGACAGACTTTCTTCTGAGGCTGATGTTATGATATTGATTCTTTAATGCAGATAACAACAGTCAAATTCAAAAAGTCTCCGAAATTAATTTTTAATTTATAGTTCTTTACCACACTTTACTTTCAAATATTTGTTTCTTACTGTAATTTTTATTATTTTATTGCCTGATTTTTGTGAAACTTATTATATTGACTTTTAGTTATATTTTTTTCTGTATTAACTTTCAGTGTATAGGATTGTCATTAATCAATGAAAAAAATAAAAAATTATATTACAATTACTAGTTATCACAGCGCTGTTCTACCAGGCCTGATGAGTGAGAGTTAATACCTATGTAAGGTTTTGTTTTGATATGAGAAGGGAGAATGTTTCAAGAAGTGTAGATGTTTTTAAACTTATGTTTTTGTGCTACCACACCATGTTTGTGGCGTTCATGATGCTACTTTTACTCTGATAGCACTATCACACTTCGCATGCAATAATTTTCAGTGACGCTATTAGATAGCAAACCTCCAAATGAAATGTGGCTCATGAAATTGTAAGCAAATTCCCAACCTTTCGCTTCTACATATATTGTTTAGATAACTGAATGTGAGGGTTTCTTATTTTTCCTATATATCCTTTTCCTAATTATAGAACAAAGACAAAGTGTAACATTGAGTGTAATTCTGGGATATAGAAAATGTACATAATTATATGTTGTGCATGGTATATCTAAAATAGATTATCTACTATTTAGATTTTAGATTTGTATGTTTTTTAATGCATATTGAACTGTTTATTTTTCAAGTTTCTTATAATTGAAACAAATTAAATGAGGTAACTAATATTTTTAAATAGTTATATAGTTATAGTGTTAACAGAAATCTCTGATGGTTAAATGACTCAAATACACAATATATTATTTTATTAACTTTCTATATTAATCAACTTTATTAACTTATTTTATTAACCAACTTTCTACTTCTTCAGTTTGCAACTAATGGTTGCATGCCAATTTCACATCAAAACATTACGAGTATGTAGGCAATTTTTTAGACGACTTTGGCCCGACATTATTTGAAAATGTTAATAACAATTCAACAGATATTACATAAAAATAATTCAAACATAAGAGTATAATCTTTATGTACATGCAAAGAATGGCAACTGTCCTATGTATCAATCTTTTATCGTAATCTTGATCAGAGAAGTAAAGAGTAAATCTCTATACAATTCATTAACCAATCTTTTGCAAGTTAAGCAATTACATAGGAATATGTTTCTGTTTCGCAATTGTAACTAACATTGTAAATCCATTTGATGATGAAATTGTAAATGCACGATGAAATTGTAAATCACCATGCTGTATCCATTTACTCTTAGCATACTACCTATTTACTCTTTGCCTTGCCCATTGATTCAATTATAAAACTGTGTATTGTATCTTGATGATTGTTACTTAACGTGTTACATTGTTCTCTACCTTCAATAAAATAATATTTCCAAGTTTATTTAACTTGGGAAGAATGTATATATAGATATGCATTAGGTAATGATATTTCATTTCAAATAATGCAATATATTGGCCTTTAGTTGAATGTTCAATTTATATGTGAAATTATCCTTCCTTTGCCTGTATGATGTGAAAATAATGTTACAAAGTTTGTGCTGTTGTAGCTCCACTAGTAATAACATGGAACAAGAATTTTTCTGTAATGCAGTTAAAATGCCTTTGGAAAGGTTGCTGAAAATTAAAATTAAGAAAAGTTTCTTCAATATAAATATAAATTAGGGTGTTGTCAAATGATGACAATGGGCAGATGTCACAATCATTAAGGGCTAAAATGTTTTAAAAAAATGTTCAATGCAGCCAAAAATGATATTGAAACGCAACTTTGGAATGAGAGGTGTTGATCCACATGACTACTTGGAAAATTAACACCAGGGGTAAAATGTGGTATGGGCCCTTATTTGTTAGAATTTTAGGCATGGCTTTCCGCTTACAGGATAGACATTTAACTCACTTTTGTTTTTTTAATATTGAAGACCTGTCAAGTTTTCACTGCTAAAAGTTTGCCTTTTATAAACTCTAGCCTTTGCTTCTAGTTCACTACAGATATGTTAGTATTCGATGTTACATCATTAACTTCAAAACAAAACAAAAAAACCCTGCAGATGACAAGCAGAGAACTGCAAGATTCTCCATGTGTGTTGGATGAAATGTGAAGTCACTTATGTGTAAAATGATTTTATTGTTACTGTATATAATGTTCGCTTAGATTTAAAATGAACTAACGTACTTTATTATGACTTTTTTTTTATATGGCCTTAACCTCAATATATCAAAAAGAGTTCAAAAAATTTTTTTCTGAAATTATACTGAAAAATTATTGCAAAATTCTTGAAATATTAAGAAGTTGCTTAAAATTAAAATAACTCTTGTTATTTTTTTTCTTATGATGATTACTTTTTACTGTCAATTTAAAAACTAGGGCAAAAATTACAATGAATTATAAATCCTAATTTAATGTAGGACTAAACTATAGTTACTACACTTTTTTCCAGAAAAATCTGTTGTCTGTCTTACTGAGTTTCTTTAGTGCACTTTAGACTGCTTAATTCCATTGTAAATTTATATCATTCTGTAGTAAAATCAAAGATGGAGTATTGTTTTATGGAATGGTCACCAAGTTCAAGTATTCAATACATAAATTGGAACTTGTGCCTCATTAATCACTGAGCAAGTGGCTTTCAAAGCTAGAATGCCTTTGCCTGCTTTTTCCCATGATTAACCATAGATAACCAGATTTTGATGCCTTTGGATACACAATTTTCAAGTTAGTTTATTTATAAGCCTGTTTGAAGGATTAAGAAATAAATAATTCAGTGGATTGTGTGTTGAGAATTGCATTTGCACCCTCCTGATTGAGATGAGTATTGCTTCCCAACAAATCCTTAATATTTAAAAAGGTAAGTGCAGTTTCTCACTTCTCCATAATTTATTTTTTTCCCTTTTGACAACTTTTTTTGAAATCAGGTGGGTGTGAGGCAAACAATGACGAGACAAGGTATGAAGCAAAAAATGCCTGTAATGAAATACAATACATACTGTACAGAATTGACAATAATTCAAAAAAGTGTAGATTTTGACTGAAGTGTTTTTTATTTATTTATTGATCAAAAATAGTCGTAAACTATATATGATGTAGTTTAATTTATGTAAAGTATTTAAATAAAAAGGAATGTTTCCTTTTGTTTTAACATAAATAATATTTTTTTATATTGTAACATGAATAAATCAAACAGTTCATAATTCCTTAATTTTTCTACTTTTGAATCTAGCTAATTTTGTAATTTGACCCCATCCATACTTATCAAGTGAACACTAATATAATATTAGAAAATGCTCTAAAAAATTACATTGTCTTTCTGCTTCTCAACTTCCTGCCCATAGCTCCCAACTCTGTTTGTGCGGCAGCCCCTGGGCTACTCCACCCATTAATTAATCTTCCCTTATATATTCACATACACACATGCATATGTAATATTGTTTTGTCTTTTCAGTGTTTACATATTGTTTATATTTATGAGTATTTGTGTCTTGTGTATCATATTTGTATATAGTAACCAAAGAATTGGACATAATAATTACTTGTTGAAGTGGTTGGTTAGAGGTTGTCTAAATTGAAATGAAAAGCTAGTGAAAATATACAGTGAATTTGCAATGGAGTTTTTGGTCATTTTTAACTGTTGTACAAAATTGTGATTGTTAATAGACAGTTTGGTGATTTGCCTCTAAATGTTGTGTGTTGTTGCCTTCAGGCATTCAGGCACCGCCGTCATCCCACAATCTGTCCGACAGCCGGATGTTGCTGGCTAGAAGGATGTTGCGCAGGGCTTCTGTGGTTTTGAATCGCTTGGAGAATCCAACAATTTCAGAGGCCAGCGACCCAGACTCCCCTCCAGACGAGCAGCAGCAGGACACTGCCAGGTACAGCACCACACAGAATTTTCAAAGTGCAAGTTTTTATTCCTACACGGAGACAACTATGGACCATCATGTACTAATATTAATGTAACGTACTGGCTTTGTTTTCAGCTCAGCTGCTAGTGCTGCTGCAGCGGCTGCTGCTGCAGCAGCGACCCAGGCAGCATCAGCTGCCACTCAGGCTGCATCTGCTGCAGTGTCTGCTGCCAGTGCAATTGCTGAGGCAGCCAGCGGGCCTTCAAGTGGCAGTGAAGGGGGAGACCTGCAGAGCCTAGAGGAAGGGCTGCAGCAGGGCTTGCCCTTGGCCCAGGCTGCACAGGCAGCCACAGCAGCTGCCATTGCAGCTGCCGTTTCAGCGGCTCATGCTGCAGGAGTGCCCAACATCACCATTGTGCGCAGTGGCAGCAGCACTGGGTCCAGCGGTGGTAGTGGGCAGGCAGGCGCAGATGTGGATGTGCGAATGGAAGGGGGTTTGTACTAAACTTGTTTTATTATGTGTGGATTTGCTTGTTTTAAGCATGCTCTTATTATGTTTCGATGATGCAAAGAGATCTTCATTCCCAGTGGTCCAAAAGTAAAAAAAGAATAAGTTAGTAGTTAATTTTAGTTGGTACTTGTTAATTAAATAACAAAACATGGTATTTTTGTTAGCAAATACAATTGACACAGAGTGTTATTTCCCTGAGGATTTTTACTCTCTCGCCCTTGCACCCTCTGGCGCCTGAAAATCAGCTTTACACTCTCTTGCTCTTGCAGTCCTCTTACTTTTCACTCTCCCCTTGCACAGCCTCGTTCGCTCGCACATACACCCACAAGCATGTGCACACTCACATATGTACATCCACTCATGCACATGCATGTTCACTCTCCCACAATCTTGCACTCACATGTGTGCACACTCACTTCCCCTGGCATTGAAAATACAAACACACTTATTCTTGTTCACTTCTGTGTGCACATGTGAATGCTGTCACTCTTGTGAACACTCTGACATATACATATGTGTACACAATGTTATAATTAGTTTCCTTGTTGAAATTTTATAGTTTTGGTTCAGGTTTATTATTTTCAGAGTGCAGTCAAATATAATTTTCATACATATTATAATAGTAATCATAATCTTTATTTCATTTTTACTAGATAACTTTAATACTTTATTCATAGTAGTAGCCCATTATTCCTAAACTAGATTGACTGTCAGCCCTATGGTGCAAAATAAGTGAGAAGAAATGAGACAATGTTTAGGAGTAATGAACATCTTGTATTGATTCTTTGCCATATGTGTGTGTGTTAACAGTAGATGAGGAAGGTAATGCAGATCAAGAGGCGGGTGGTTCTCAGAGCAATGTGACTGCAGACAGTGTGGAGAGCCCTGCAGGGACAGGAGTGGAAGCCTCAGAAGGGGGTGCAGCTGTTGCCTCTACCTCTGCTTCTACCTCTGCCTCTGCCTCTGCCTCTGCCCCCTCTGCACAGGCTGGCTCGTCATCTGACGAGTGAGTTTATGGATGAGCTGTTGAACCTTTTTTTTGATGTTGTGTTAATAGCATATAGGAGCATATTTGTCTTCCACAACACAATTTCATTACAAGTCTCCAAATATACAATTTAAAGAATCTTGTGACCAATTTAATATCATGTTCTTCTGAAAAAGTTAATTTTACATGTACACTTTGTTTGCATCTGAACCTAATTGGAACATATTAAGGGTGCTGAATTAAAAACTAAAATTTTGTATTACATCCTACGGAAAAATCCTACTTAAAATTTTGTGTGTTTGAGTTGATTAAAAATATGTCTTATAGTTAAAAGGGAAGAGGTGTTATCACTAGAGACGTTGTTATACCTATATTTTTATAAAAATTAATGTAAATAATCAGAATTTTTTCCCCCTACATTGTTACTCACAAAGTACTGTCAAATCGAGATGCGCTACATTTGGACATGTTCCGATGTTCTTAGAGTCCAGTGTGCCTGTGGCAGTTATCTCAGTGGTCGGAAGTGTGCTTCAGAGCGGCACCTTTGTGAGAACGGGCCTCCGAACTGCTCGATGATGTCACGAAATGTAGGGTCGCTTAGCGGCGACTGCCAGGCAGTGGAATTAGCAAAGTGCTTCTTGTTTTTACAATTCCCCAACTTACAATAAAGTTACATCGCCAAATACCAAATCTAGGTAAAACATATTCATTCCAACAGCTGGTCTCCGTGCTCTACAAATAAAAAATCCCTATCTTAATAATCGATACCAATATACAAATACTCATAAAACAAATTTAATAAGAGATTAAGTATTTTCTAGACTACCTTCATATCCTTTAGTTCATTAAGATTTTAAATTAGCTGTTGTTCATAAATTAAATTCATTTACCTTTTTTATTTAATAGTTCTCTCCTGATGTTTAAAGTTTGCAAATTAAAGTTAAAAATATGACCTGAATTTTTATTTTTCATTAAAAAATATATTAATTCCTTTTTTCAAATTTCCTCCAAACGAATGTGCCCTTCTCTTCTATGAACCAGGAAATTAGTACTTAGTTTAGAAAGCACATTAAATTTCTTGGGTACTTATTAGAAGCAGAATGGTTTATTTCTAATAATCCATAGGGAACTTAAAACACATTGAATAAAATCTCTTATTTTTCAACTTATTAACTTGTGCCATTGCCATTTCACTCACATTGCCATGGCCCCGCACTCTCGCAACATGATTATGTTTCTTACAGTAATTATTGAGAAAACAGTTAGTTGGAGACCAGTATCATCTTTACAACCTTCCCAATTCATATCCATTCTCACATTGTTCATCTTCTAAAACTTGCAGATTATCAATTGTTATGGAAGCAGCAAGAGCTTTTTGATTCTTGAAATTCAAAAATTCATTCTCCATTTCAGAGCACAACTTTTTTACTACTATATTTATAATAGTAGTAACAAATGTAACTACATTTTCAGTAGGATAAGCAAGAGCTCCCTGATCCATTTTGCTTATTATACTGAAGTTTTCATTAAATGGAAGCTTCCTGTCAAGGAAGAGTGCGATGGTTGCATTTAAGCCTCTTGACAACTGAAAAAACACAATAACCAGAAATGTAGACCACTACAGGTAAACATTCCATTATATCTTCAAAATCGTTAGAAAACATTTCAACATAAATGCCATGATGGTGATCCATATCAGTTTCTGATGCCAAAATGATATGTCATCTACAGGAATGTCCTCATAGTTCTTTGAAGACAAGTTTAACCTTACATGTGCCTGCAGCCTCAGTTTCATTTCACATTCATACAACTATCTTAAATATGATATTGACTACCAGAAAGTGACCTGTACAAGCCAAACACGCAAATTTCAGGAAGGATGTATTTAATATTACACTCATTAACACTATATGAAGCTATTTCCATCAGAGCATAAGTAGAATGTTTTAATGCAGAATGTGTTTCTCTGCTCAATTTACCACTACTGATTTGCATCTTCTCCCAAGCATCCAACCAGGCAATGACTTTACTCACGTACACATATTTTACATCCCAGAATCATTTGAGAATGGATCTGATAAATATTGTTCAAGCGTGTACTAGTAAATGTGCTCCGAACATTAACAATTTCTCACCACATACTAATGATCTGTATACAATTTGCAGTCTCTTCATAACAGCATATTCTCTCTAGCACTTTAAGCCTTCAATGATGTGCTTATTAAACATCTGGAGCTAATTTTACTTTCTACCTTTCCAAGATAATTGGAGCCAGTGCTTTAAAAGTCAATAAATAACCAAATTTGGCCACCGAATTGACTTCAGAGAATGCAATTTCTTCAGCGTGCCAAAAGATGCAGACTGTGCACACTAGATTCAATGGTATTTTCAATCTTGGAGAATTTTGGAGAGAACATAGACTGCTCTCGTTCTTTTGTCTAAGCCAGCAATTTCTAATGTGATTTAATCGATGTACTGTGTCAATTACAAAAAAATATGGCATTTGTGAGTCTCTAGGGTGAGAATACACTACTTTGCTTTTGTGGAGGAACTGCTAAACAGCTCATAGCTTTAGAATTAATTTTGTTGTTATCAGAAATAACTGCTATGACTTTGTATCCTTATCCTCTAATCCTATGATTATACGCTTTAAATATGAATGAAGCACTTGCAGTTATCGAAGACACAGGTAAAATTTATACAACATCCTTAAACTTTGACTTAATACTACTTATCATGACACATGAGCACTACCAGCATTTTCTGTCGAATTGTGGTATGATGCAACTATTGCACCACCTTTGTCGTCCCAAAATTTCTTAATATAAATTTCATCAATAAGGAGATTAACAATTCTGTCATTCTTGTTCTGGAATACAAATTTTTTCTTTCGATAAGACAGAAAAGTATCATCTCCTTGTTCATTCTGTGGACTAAGGTTATATTTCAAGTTGAGAGAATTAATTGTGGTCTCGTGAGGTAAAATAATTTTTCTTGTCTCTCTTACAAAGCAATATGCATTTGCTTGCAGAATAAAATACAGTGAAACAAATATCATTAAATCAGGAGAGTATCTTCTTGCACTCACCTTCGTTTGAATTAACATTAACTGTTCAATCATACAGGAGACATTTTCATGTTCTATCGTCTTTAATATATCTCAAAAACATTTATTAAATTGGCATCATCGCTTTCCCTAACATAACACTCCCAAGAATTTAATTTAGTCAATATTGCATCAATTGATCCAACATTTGTCACAATAGGAGGCACATCTTCATCCCCTAACTTCACTATTTCACATCCTTCAAAAAATACTTTCAAGTGTAAATTCAAATCTATTGAAAGAGATGCACTTATCCTTGGAAAAGGTGCAAGAACAACTTTATAAAAAGTAATTAAATCACTTGCTTGAAGTACCTTCCACTCACAGATATTAAAAAACTGAAGTTTGAATTTGAGTTCTACAAATGAGGAGAAACTTCTCGTCTTTTATATATTCCGCTTGGTCTTTAAATCTGTCTGCAATATCTTGATCTATTGCAGCACAAATACAATTATGAAATAATTATTTACTGCACTGGCTAACAAACAAAAGAACAGATCAAACTGGAGCCCACAACCCAAGTTCGATGCCACTGCCACGCAAAATGAGGCTTGCCTTGCTCTGGGCAAGAGGGCTTTGGTTTGGTGAGCAACCCTACAATTTGTGATGTTACGAGCAGAGTGAAAGGTAGTCCAAGGGCCTGTTCTCATAGAGGCACTGGTCAGAGGCTGAGAACATTTTCACCTTTAGATGTAAAAAGTATCACTGCTGCCGGGTTTTTGTAATCTTTAACCTTCATTTTTGAGAAACTTTAACATGTAACACAACAATGAGAATACTGCACGCTGCAATGATTGTTTGCTGGTCATAGATATTGCCAGTTAGCCCAGGAGCTTTTATTGTGTCTAGTCTAGCTGCTAAACTATCCTGGAAAGCAATAGATGAAGCTTTAATTACTGTCGGGAAAGTTATATATGCAAAATGTGCATTAACTTCTACTTTCCAAATAATTTTTAAAATATGTTTATCAATTTTTTGATAAATGTAATTTTATACTAGGTAAATATGTTTTATAATTAGGGTCTTTTTAATATTACATATCATGTCTGATATTACACGTTTATTACATATTCTGACAGTTTTCATTACATTTTTATGTACACATTTTTCCAGTCTCTAGTTATCATATTTACTCTGATCAAAACACTTGGCACTTTGGGGTCACGAGGGTGGAGAATATCATTGTCATCCAATTGGGAGCTTCGTTGCTACTAATTTTTAATGTTGGAACCCTGATTGGATGTTGATGATGATGTCTCCTGGCTTCTTCCAGCTCGTGACCTGGAAGTGCTACTAAATTTAAATTTGAGCATAATGTTCTCAATTTGTGTTTGTTGCTTTTGATTTTGCAATTTGATTTCTAATTGTTTGACTTTGATAATAGTAATTGTATATATCTATTTCAGTATAAAATTAATGAAATAGTAGGTTTGAAATTTATAATATTTTTTTTTAGTGTTCCCAGAACAACTGTTTTGGCAGATTTATTAGATGAACTGAACAGAGTTAACACTAGACTTCAGCCTTTCATGCAACAATATCATTCTCTAATGCGTGATTATCCAAATCCTGAGAATAATGTAAGTATACTATGTTAATTGGTTGCTTGTGTATTATTGAAATGTCACTTAAAAAACGTTTATTTCTCACATGCTACTTATATAAGAAAACAATTATTGTAATGTTGCTGTGGAAGTGATGATTTTTGGAAAGTAAGTGTAAGAAATGTGAATAAAATCTTTCTCCTACTGTTGTCCCTTCCTCTAATGTTTTATGGTCAGAATCTCTTATTTCTGTCCTTAATACTGAAGAATTGGTTGTTGGCAAAACATCCAGTTGTGGTCAAACTGGTCCCTGTACCATCTAAAGGTCCCTGTACCTTTAGATGATTTTCTCCAAAATTGGAATTTCCCAATTCCCAATTGATCTGGCTTAACCAGCATATTCTCCAAATTCTCCAACATTTTCTCCATAAAGGAGCATTCAACCATTTGTTTGTGCTATGCCACAATAGTTGTGCGTTAATCTGGGGGATCGTAGAGACAAGATTTATATACTTTTTCGTTACAAGGACCCAGCAATGAGAGTTGTTCTGTTGACAATTCACTGTTTTTTCCTGCATTACAATACTTTCTCTATACCGCATAAGCAGTAGCAAGAAAGTAATATCGAATTAAAAAACCTGTCACTGTTAATGCCCCTTCTTTGCATTTGTTTATGAAACATAGGGATGAAAAAAGCTTTTAAATTGTAGTGGGATATAAAATTAATTTTTTGCAGGCTTCTACTCAGGAATCCCATAGAGTTTTCTCATCTGTGTCTGAGATTATGCACTTCCTATCACACGCTTACCATGCGTTGAGTGATATAATGTGCGACTTCACTCAGCCTCCTCCACGTGCCCTGAGATGTCGACCTGTTCTGATTCAGCATTCAGCAGTGTTGCAGGCTGGAATTCCTATCCAGGTGGGTTCAAATTATAATCATAAATTGGACCTTGCTTGATAGGACACTTTTGAATATTCACAGAACGAAAATTGATTATTACAAACACCATTGAAGAAAGAAAATTGTCATTCTGGAGAATTCATTTCATCTGGTTTTCATCATTGGATAGGAATGAATTTGAAATAGATGTTCCAATCTTTTCGAGTTTTTAAAACTGAATGCTGCTGAAGTTGTATTTTTTTGTGTTTACAGGCACAAATAAATGTAATGACAAACCGCAATAATCCTAACAACAACAACAACATCAGCACTAATAATAATGGCAGCAGTGCCTCAGCACAGGGCCCATCCCCTTCAGCTGTCCCAGTAGCAGCTTCTGCAGCATCTGAACCAGAATCTGTTGATGTGGCTGCAGAACAAACTTCCAACACAGCAGCCCAAGACAGTAGCTCCCCCAGCCCAGGACCAGGCCAACCAGATGAGACTAGGGCCAATCAAGGTGAACTATTTATTTATTTACAGTAATAAGAATAATCTGTGTGAATCAGTCATTCATAGTTGCTCCTTCCTGTCCACCAATCGAAACAAAGGACATGTCATTTGACGCATCTCAGTCTCCTGAAGGGGAACTGTTTAGTACAAAACCCGGTTTTTTCATTCCCCATGTTTCATTTTCCTGCTTTTTACGTAATTTTTTGTTGGTCCCATCATAAAGCCTATATTTACAAGCCTATTTATGCATTATCTTTCCACAATTTACAACTTGATACAAAGAGTGCTTCCCGTCTTTTACATTTTTTTAAATTATTATTATTATTATTGTTATTATTATTATTATTATTATTATTATTATTATTAATATTATTATTATTATTATTCTTTTACTTTCTCATTTACTTACATCTTATACATAGTGCAGCTAAAGTTATGTAATGCTGTGTCACCAAAGTGATTTTTCAACAGAAACCTCGTACTGATAGAGGAAAAGTGGATAAGTCCTATTCCAATCTGCAGTAAATTAATACATATGTGCGTAACAAACTTGCGGAAGCCTCGATTTTGTTCAGATCAATCAGGGAATATCCGTTTTGGAGAAATTTGGCAGGTGGTTTAGGCACTCACGTTGACTACTGATGGATAAACAGTCGTTTTGCCGTCAATTGATTTTGCGATTTTAAGGACCCATAAAACAGTTTCAGGCTACACCACGTGTTAGAGGAAGTAATTTACTATGTATAGGTATATGAATTATCCACTTTCTCATTACCAGGGCCTGTCAATAAGAGATTTTCTGATGAAATTCACCAATTCCGGTGCACACTTTTACTTTCTTGTCTTATGAAGGACAAGAAAGTAAAAACAGAGCTACGATGCAGTAAATAACGAAAGTACTCACCTAGGCTATCATTTTTAAACTTTCCTGTGTTTTACACTTTCCTACGTGATTTGGCAGTTTTTAGGCAACTAAAATGCATTTGGGGTGACCTAGGGAACCTACAGAGGTGATCCTTTCAATGAGGCAAATGAATGGGCTTTGTTTCTAGCCAACAATGCTGGGACGATTCTCAGTGAGGTGATGAGGGTAGCGATGAGACATTGACAGCTATGCTTTATACAAAAATATTCTATAAAACCTTGAAACATTTATAGAAGCCAATTTTTTTTAGCTCGAGCTATTATTTGAGAATGAAAAAAAATACATTCTAATTTATGCACATTTGAAATTACTGGGCGATTGTCAGTGTTTGAACACAGCGAACGCTGATTATTTGCTCCTTCATCGAGTAAGTTATTTCCCAATAAATGACACATTGCCCTGGTATTTCCTATGCTCATCCTCATTTTTCGTATGCGAAGAGACGCACCCTAGGGTGGGGCCTGTTCGCATTCTGTGGCAAACTGTGGAATCTGAGACCCCGTGGGATGACTGAGCACTCTAATTTTTAGGCTCAGGTTAGTTATTATTTGTAACTTTTTCTAAGAAAAATCCTAATTATAAATTAATAAACACAGCCTTTTCCAAATTAAATTATCCCCTGCATGAATGTGTTGGAGATTAATAAACCAAAAAAAGTCACAATCCTAGGTCTTCAATCATTTTGAACATTAATATTTGTATTTGCATTCGTTGAACATCGTTGTCTCTGCTTTTCCTCCTAGCCTGAGTCTTGGAGATGACTGATAATTCTGTGAGAACTTTCTTAATAATAGCGTGTTCGATTGTGGCAAACATGTATTTGGATGTGGCCGTTAACTCCTATTTATCTACTCCTGATCCAAAAAGCCTATGGCTGTGGATAAAAATTTCTTCCAATCATTCATGGCTGCTGGGACAGACTGCAGAGAAGTAGTTCGCTTGAAACCATGGCAGAGGTTGTTGTTTTTGTAAGAGTCTAGCAGTCATCCTTTCACCACTATCCATTGCAAAGCGGTGGAGACAAACTAACCGTGTCTGAGTGTGGGATTTCCAATTACAATAAGGCACTGGGACTGTGGGTCACAATTAGACATTGATGTGAATGCCCAAACCAAGTTCACTAATTTTGATTGGCTCGCTTCCTTGCTTTCTCTTTTCATTTCCCACTCCATCTCCACTTCCGCTGCTTTTGTTCATTCATGAGCGACCAACTCACTCCAGTTTACGATGTTTAAAGGATGACTAAGGAGAAATATAGTGTTATTTGGACACATACATTTTTTGAAGATAAATTCAGTTTTATACTTCTGTTACAGAGTTTACAAGAATGTCTGCCTATATTATAGTGCCACTAGTTTGATATGGGGCGGGGGAGCGGCAGCGTGACTTGGGGAGGGTGTCAATATTTGGCCAAATTTCACTTTGCAACACATATTCATCCAATTTAAATGGTTGATATATTGTTGAATTCAGGAAAATCCATTTGAAAAATTAGTTTTGGCATTTTTTTAGAGGGAAGGGGCTTTCACAGTGTAAATTCTACATTAAAAACTAGCCGGATGCTGTTTACAAATGGATAGTCTTAATTGACCTTTGACAGTGTGGCGTCAATTGAATATTTTTAACTATTTTTCCGGACATCATAGCTGCAGTCGCGGCCCCTTGAATTTGAAACCGAAATTTTCATTTTTGGGGTACTTTACATGAAGTCCCTGGGACATTTTTCAAAAAATGGTTCTTAAGTTTTTGATTAAATTTTGTTATTGGATAATGTGAAGGACATTTAAGAGAATAGTGCACCTAGCATGTTCATTAAAAACCTCCATTTTTTAATTTTATTTTTTTGCATCTTCCTACAACTGAGATATTAAAGATAGATATGTTTTCCCTTAATGAAGACTGTTCCTTAAATATGTTTTGAAATAAGATCATGTACAATTGTTTCAAAATTTGAGTACTTTTCATAATTTTGTGCGAAAGATCAGGGTCTTCCCCATAACTACAATTATGAGGATTTATATTTTTTTCTTAGTAAAATTTGTTTATCAAAAACAGAAGTAATGTTGTGTTCAGTTTTTGAAAATGTGAGTAATTTTTGCCACACTTTGTCAGACATAGGCAATTTTTATTTTCTTTAAACCCTTCTAGTAACTAAAGTTCTGTAGAACGGATAATAACTAAGGTAATTAAAAAAAAATTAAGTAAATTTAAGAGACTTTTATTAACAACTAAAAATTTCAGTTTCCTATTACGAATGTAAGTTGTAAAGAAAGAAAAAACAAGATAATTTTGTGTTCAGAATATCAACTTTCAGAAAATCGGCTTTACGTTGAACATCATTCTCATAAGCATCTTTTAAGCTATCCGAGATTATAATTCTTGGTGCCGTTTTGTTGAATAAAAACATGAAAAGTACTCAAATTTTCGAAAAATTGTACATGACCTTATTCCAGATCCATCAGGTAACAGATTTTCTAAAAGTTAAAAAATCTCACTTTATTAATTAAGTTGTAGTAGTAGGCTCCGAACAGTAAAAAAATTGAACTTCAGTAATTTTCGAGGATGGTTGATTACAAGAAACATTAGACCTGCACCTTTCCCTGAAACGTCCTTCACACTATCCAACAACAAAATTTAATCAAATACGATGGAGCCATTTTTTAAAAATGTTCTAGTGGCTTCCAAGAAAAGAACTCCCCAAAATTAAAATAGTTTTAAATTCAAGGGCCCTAGACATAAAGCCAGATCAATTATGGAATATCAGTTTTGGAGAAAATCAACTGAGAGGTTAGCTAGTGTTGTTCACGCACGGTCAGACATTTTGCTGTCATTCCTTTTTTTGATATTGAGGACCCAGCAAACATGAATTGTGGCTACTTGACGTGTTAGAGGATTTTTTTAAAACTTAGAAACTGAATTTATTCACTTTTTTGTTTACCATTTAATGTTTTTTCTGTGGAAAATTCATTTTTTTAACTGTACATAAATTTCTCTGTACTTCGTAGCAAGGAAGTAAAACTTATATGAAAAGGAAGTAAAACTTATATATATTATATATGAAAAAAACGCAAAACTGGGCAAAAATATGCCTTTTTTATTAACATGGCGCACCCAAAAAGAAAAATTTTAAAAAATTCCAGAAGATAGCAGATTTTTAGGGCAACAGTTGAGAATTTTCTTGTGCTCATGGCAGAATAAAAACTTACTTTAGAAAAAATTCAAAAATTCTTAAATTATTTCAAAAGTTCGAATTTCTTCAAAAGTTTTTCAATATTTTCCATGGAAATTTACATGTCCAATTCAATGGTGAGACAGTCTGGTATCTAAAACGTTCATGAAGATAAGGTTTTTGGTGGTCACAATCCTTAAGAAAGACTTATTTTTCAATTTCTAGTGGGGACGCTTAGCAACTTCTTTGGCTAGAGGCTTTTTGTTGATTTTTTTCTTAAAAATTTCTCCTTTTCTTTTTTTTCTTTTTTACTTTATGGCTTAATCATAATCTGAAGTTTATCATTTTAAAAATAATGGTTGTTGTGTTTACTCTCATCTTTCTTTTCTTTCCATCTTTCTTTTCTTTCCATCTTTCTTTTCTTTCCATCTTTCTTTTCTTTAAATGAAGAAAAGAAAGCATGGAAAGAAAAAGAAGATGGAAAGAAAGAAAAGACGTTGAAGAAAAGAAAGATGGAAAGAAAAGAAAGACTGGAAAAAAAAGAAGGATGGAAAGAAAAAGGATGAAAAGAAAAAGAAAGATGGAAATAAAACAAAGATTAGGAAAAAGGAAAAGAAAGTATGAAAAAGAAAGTTGGAAAGAAAAAAAGTTTGAAAAGAAAGGAAAGTGGAAGAAAAGAAAGTTGTTTGAAAGAAAGAAAGCTGAGAAAGAAAGATG